GCTTTCCCGCTCTGCTTGGAGTGAAATGATAAAAAAAATAAAAAATAAAATAAAGATACTGACATTCCACACTTCTTCAAACAAAAGGTTAGGAAGGAAAACCCCATAATTATGGAAAGAGATATAACAGTAATCTATTGTACTTAAAATTGTTTTAAGAGTAAGATGTTTTCAATTTCAACTTCAAAGTAACACTAGTTTTACGGTCAAAGAATGCCGAATGATACCTTATAAGGAAACAGCTCATATGGGAATTACCATTCTCTTCGTCTACTGGGTTTGCTATATATATATATATATATATATATATATATATATATATATATATATATAGCGAGAGAGAGAGAGAGAGATACCCAGGACCTACCAGGCTATGTTGAAAGCGTCAAGGTATCCTTATTCCTTTTGATTCCGTTAGTAAGGAGGAAGCGCCACACAAGATAGCTTCTTCTCCAGAACTGTTATTCTGTGGAAACTGATTTCAACGATTTTAACCTGCAAAAAACAGGTCAGTAACAAACAAACACACACACACACACACACACACACACACACACACACACACACACACACACACATATATATATGTGTGTGTGTGTGTGCGTTTGTGTGTGTGTGCCTGAGGAACTATATATATATATATATATATATATATATATACATATATATCCATATATATATATATATATATATATATATATATATATATAAGGCTCCATCCTTGGCCCCACTCTTTTCCTTATTTTCATCAATGACCTTCCTGACGCTATAGATTCCCAAGTTGGCATCTACGCAGACGACACTACAATTTACTCCTGCCTCAAAAACAAATCTAGTGTCGGCGACAAAACTAACCTGGCCGTGCGTCTTGAAATGGACCTCCAATCGGTTGTTAATTGGGCAAGAATTGGCTGGTCAACTTTAACGCAACAAAAACTAAACTACTCTCCATTAACCACCGTAGAGATCCTTCCCTCCCCCCCTTAAAATGTCTGATAGTCAACTTCCTGAGAGCAACTCCCTGCGCCTGCTCGGTCTCACGCTGACTGCTGACCTGAGATGGAACAAATACATTGAGTCAATTGCTTCTTCCACCGCGAGGAAAGTTGGCTCTCTGTGCCGCGCCAGGAAATTCTTCTCCCCGAAATCGATACTTCAAATATACAAAACAACCATTCGCCCTTGCATGGAGTATTGCTGCCATATATGGGCTGGAGCACCTTCTGCTTACCTCGGAGTTCTTGACAAGATCCAGAGACGGATAGGTAATCTAATTGGCCCTGATCTAGCGTCTCGTCTGCAGTCACTCTCTCACAGACGCGCCGTCGCCTCTCTCTGTCTTTTCTACAAATATTCCATGGTAACTGCTCTGACGAGATGCTTTCTCTGGTTCCCAGACTCCATGAATTCAAGCGCCCTACGAGGCTGGCATCCCGCTCCCACCCTTACACTGTAGAAACTTTTAAATGTAGCCGTCTCCTCTACTCCAGTAGCTTCATACCTCGCACCTCTCGCCAGTGGAACACCCTCCCCAATTACTGTTTCCCTGAAAGCTATAATCTCCAACTATTCAAATGTAATGTCAATCGACATCTCTAGTTACCTTGATCTACCCACTATCCTTTTCCTCATCCTTTCTCCTATCACTCCTATCTGCTCTCGTTCGAAATCTTCCGCAACCCCCTGCATCCTAGTGGCTTCACGCCTTGCTTGGGGCGTAATGCTTAATATATATATATATATATATATATATATATATATATATATTGCACTTTTTATATTTATATATTTTATTTTTATATTTTTATATATTGCATTTATTGCACTTTGTTTCTTCATGAACAACTTTTCATAACTCCTTTATTCATTCATCATAATCATTTTAATGAGATTTCCACATATTATTAAAAATAATTAATTTTTTTCTTATGGTCAATGTTAAATATTCTCGATATGAGACATTCTCTGTTTGTGTGTTAGTAATCCGAATTTCTTTCTTGAATTGGAAATGAAGACTTCTGCGCGAAGGGTCATAAAACAATTAAGGTTGGTCCAGCGAGATGATGAATTAGTTATCGGCATTTTCCGCTTTTACCTGAAGACGGTCGCGAGACCAGAAACACGTGTCGTAAAATTATGTAAAGCAAAGCATAATATTTATTTCTAAATAAATCCACATTACAAACAAAAACGTTTGCGGCACCTCCTCTTCTCTTCTTTTTAATATACATATTTTTTCTCTCGTTGGAACCACTACAACATATTTTTTTTATATATATATATATATATATATATATATATATATATATATATATATATATATATATAAATTTATATATCGTTATCTCATATATATATTTATGTATATATATATATATAATTGAACACATACACAAATATGTACACGATTACAGACACATGCACACTGCATACAGTTTTGTTACGCTTCTCCTTGTCGCGGTCTGGCGCCCGGCGAAGATTGAAAACGTCAAGTTATCTGGCCTGGTGACCCTGAATGTCAAAGCTTGTAAGGAAAATAATAAACAAATAAATGAATAATAAAAATGGCGTCTTCGTCAGCTAATCATGTCGCTGCGAACTTTTCTCTGCCACCTACCCTTAACCGTCGAAAACAAACTGTCGGCCATCATTTCATGTCTGGAAACACATTGTGTCGACATTTGTACCAACATCAAAGAGAATTACGTTATACAACGTACTACCAATCATTTTTTTTTCTTTTTTTTCTCCCGATTTTCCTCTGTTTTTTTTAATCTTTTTTTCTTTTTTTTTTTCTAAATAATGCTTATTTTACACTGGAGCCTTCCAATTTAAAAAAAAAAAAATCCCGTACCGGCAGAGGGAAAAAACGTATTTATTTCATTTAGGTTATTTATAAAATAAATAAATAAATCTACAGTTGTCTCCCCTGTTTGTGTATTTTCATGATTATGATCATTGTCTCTGTTTCCCTTGTCTTTTTAACTCTCTATCTATTCTCCCCTCTAATTCACGCTTTCCTCTTTTTTTTCTCGCATATTACGAATTACGATGATGAATATTTATAAGACATCCATCTTTTGCTTCAGTTTCTATTTTTCTACATAAATTTTCTTTCTTTCTGTTACATCTGAGTCAAAATATTTCTTTCTATCTATCTGTCTCAGTGAACGCATCTATCTATCTATCTATCTATCTATCTATCTATCTATCTATCTATCTCAGTCCTCTCATATCTATCTATCTATCTAGCTATCTGTCTAGCTAGCTCAATCATTTCATTTCATATCTATCTATCTATCTATCTATCTATCTATCTATCTCGGTTTCCTTATATCTATCTGTCTATCTAACTACTTAGCTAAGTCTCTTCATTATCTATCTATCTATCTATCTATCTATCTATCTATCTATCTATCTATCTATGTCAGTCTCTTCATATCTATCTATCTATCTATCTATCTATCTAGGTCAGTCTCTTCACATCTATCTATCTATCTATCTATCTATCTATCTATCTATCTATCTATCTCGGTCTCTTCATATCTATCTGTCTATCTAACTAGCTACCTGAGTCTCTTCATATCTATCTATCTATCTATCTATCTATCTATCTATCTATCTATCTCGGTCTGTTCATATCTGTCTATCTATCTCAGTCTGTTCATATCTATCTATTTATATATCTCTGTCTCTTCTTATTTATCTAACTCCATTTTTTCATATCTATCTATCTATCTATCTATCTATCTATCTAATTCTGTTGACATGGCTTGATCATTATACATTAATAATTTCAGATCAAAATCCAGCTGATTGCTTTAAGCGACAAATCTATTGATCCGCCCTAATACCTTAGTTTCTCAACATCAATCTTTTTTTATCACACGCCATATAATTTTCTCCGTCCCCTTATTCATTACAGATGTCTTGATGGATTGATGAATGACAGGCACGTAGCCAAGATGAAGACAGATTCAACTCTCGCCATCATCTCCCAACCTATCTTCCTCCACTCTCTCTCTCTCTCTTTATAGGTTACCCTTTACATCTCTCTGTTTCCCCCCTTTTAGTTAACTGATTTTGACCTTTCTTTCCTTCCTGCATTCCAGTGCCACTTGCAAGTCTCTCTTTCTGTTCACCCATGTTGCCACATTTTCTCCCCGTGTCTTATTCTAATCTTGTCTCTCAGACAGTCAGTCCCCATTCCTTCATTTTCGTTTTTTTCTTTCTATTTTGCGATGGGTGTGTCATCATCCAAAGGAACCTGGTTTAAACACGGCGTTAATGACATCATACAAGGGTAACGTCGTTTAAGACCAGCGTTAATGACGTCATCCAAAGTCAACATGATTTTAAGCGAGTCGTCAACATCCAATACCCAACCACCGGTTGAACGGTGGTAGAGAAAAATGACTTTATGCCCAGCCACCGGTTTAACGGTGGGTAAACACTTGTAACTATTTTTATATCTACCGTGAAACATTACATAACAATTATTAATGAAATTTCCCAACGACAACATGTTTTAATTGAGTCTAAAATGACATCATCCAAAGACAACATATTTTAAACGAGTCTGCAATGACATCATTCGACGACAACATGTTTTGAACGAGTCTGCAATGACATCATCCAAACATGATATGTTTTGAGTCTGCATTGACATCATCCAACGACAACATTTTTTAATCGAGTCTGCAATGACATCATCCAACGACAACATTTTTAATCGAGTCTGCAATGACATCATCCAACGACAACATTTTTTAATCGAGTCTGCAATGACATCATCCAACGACAACATTTTTTAATCGAGTCTGCAATGACATCATCCAACGACAACATTTTTTAATCGAGTCTGCAATGACATCATGCAACGACATGTTTTAATCGAGTCTGCAATGACATCATCCAACGACTGCATGTTTTAAACGATTGTGCAATGACGTCATCCAAACACGATATGTTGCGAGTCTGCAATGACATCATTAGACGACAACATGTGTAAAACGAGTCTGCAATGACATCATCCAACGACTACATTTTTTAATCGAGTCTGCAATGACATCATCCAACGACAGCATGCTTTAAAAGATTGTGCAATGACATCATCCAAACACGATATGTTTTGAGTCTGCATTGACATCATCCAACGACAACATTTTTTAATCGAGTCTGCAATGACATCATCCAACGACAATATTTTTTAATCGAGTCTGCAATGACATCATCCAACGACAACATTTTTTTAATCGAGTCTGCAATGACATCATCCAACGACAACATGTTTTAATCGAGGGTGCAATGACATCATCCAACGACAACATATTTTAATTGAGTCTACAATGACATCATTCGACGACAACATGATTTAATCGAGCCTTACAATGACATCATCCATGGACAGCATGTTTTAAACGATTGTGCAATGACATCATCTAAACACGATATGTTTTGAGTCTGCATTGACATCATCCAACGACAATATTTTTTTAATCGAGTCTCCAATGACATCATCCAATGACAACATGTTTTAATCGAGGGTGCAATGACATCATTCGACGACAACATGTTTTAATTGAGTGGGTGACCGAACAGCAGCCTGGAAGACGCGCCAAAGTGACAAGTGTTCATGAAAATTAAAAGGAGGCTGTGAAGTGCTATGATCTTCTACGGAACACGGCACATAGAAGAAGAATTGCAATAAGATTTTCAATAAGTCTCACGCGACTTGTTTCTTTTTAAAGAATTTTAATTATTGCGAAAACTTTTAGACCGATACATACCCGCAAGAGGCCAAACTGCTGGTGTACAAGTGTTTTTTTTTTGTTTTATCATCATTGGACAGACTGCGAACAAATTCAATAGAGCAATTCAATTGTACATTAGTCACTGAAATTTTTGTACTGATCTGCGCAATGTAAACAAACTGGCGCCATATTTGATTTCAGTGATTGCGCAGGTCAGTGTTGCCAATAGTGTGTGAAACTTTTGTGTGAATTGATTGGACGGTTTTTGAAATATTAGAAAAAAAATTATCTTGATAATAATTTGGCACGCAGTGTATTGTCGTGTGTATATCATACAGGCTGTCCATAAAGTTCGTGTGCACTTTAAAAAATTATAACTTTATTTGCATTTGCGATAGAAATAGATTTGTAAAAAGGATTAGAAAGAAGTAAATCTATATTTTTTAAGGTTTTATTGAAATTTTATTTAAGTTTCCACATCTCCTCCGTCATTAGCAATACAAAGGGTAATACGATTCTGCAGTTCACGGAAAACATTTGCCAACTGATTTACAGTAATGCCTGAAATCACAGTTATTTTAGCTATACTTAAATCTAGGTACATTAAACTTTATAACATTTTTTACAGATTATTTCTATCGTAAGTACAAATAAAGTTATAAATTTTTAAAGTGCACACGAACTTTATGGACAACCTGTATATATATTAGAATTGATTTTTGGAGAACAGTCTCCGGGGCGCTCACTAAGAAGCCAGGTGCAAATGAACCTGAGCTCCATAATATGCTTGATTAGCTGATTTTGTCTCGAGGCATATCAACACCTCTATGGGTCATTTAATGCCGAAATCAAAATATTGTGAACACAATTTTATAGCTTCAACTAAAAAGTATTTTGAGCATAATTGTATGCCTTCATCTACTAACAAAATACATTGTTGGTCATTTTGCTTTAAATAAGTATTATTGGTAATTTTACTATAAACTAGACTACCCGTGACCAGTTGGGTCACTGTCAGTTCAGATTATAAAACATTGAAGTTGATATCAGCATTTCATTGAAATGAAAATTAAGTTTATTATGGTTCAGTTAAATATTCCAATTTGGTCGTGTCATTATTATTCTGGTTTACAAGTTCATGTTTAACGTTTTACTGATTTAACTTCCGGAATAGAACTTCCGGGATAAACTTGAACTTTAAGTCGGATAAACTTAAAGATATTTTGGTTAATATGCCAAAAAAATATTTTAAAATCATATTCACTTGTAAATATTTTTTAAATACGCCAAAAAATATTTTTTAAATATTTGAAATATTGTTTGTTTAAATAAAGCTGAAATATAAATAATTACTTTAGAAACAACTGGACGAAACAGCAAAGCGGCATCTCTTTGTGGCTGTCTTTAACTTAAAAATATATTAATTAAAAAAAAATTGGAGAAAGTTAAAATAAAAATACTTCCCGTATAAACAACACGTAAATCATTATAGCCGGACGGACGCACCACGCAAGTACACAAGCTTGCACGCAATCACAGATTTTACTATAAATAGGTATTTTGGTTGGTTGATTTTGTTTAGCCGCATATGGGTTATTTAATGACGAAATCAGGAGTATTTAAATGAGACCTCATTGAGCTATGGTCAGTGTTGTGGCCTGTTTAGGGGCCAGAAAGAAAAGACACGGAAGACGAAGGTAGGTTGAACAAGTTTATTGAAATAACAGATATATACAAAGTAAGAGTGTTAGTAATAAGCACATAGAGGTGTACGTCCGAACGGTAGGTTAACACTTCGTTTCCGCTGCCCTACGACTCTCCGCTAAGAAGTCTCGCAGCTAGTATTTATGAGAGGAGGAAGAGTTCATTCTACTGTAAGAGGGTTTACCACAACATTCAGAAAGATGTACAAACTCAATAATATGAACTACGAACATGGGCACAATATGTTGACCGTGTTTTGAAAATTGAAACATTAAATAAATATATACATACAACAATCTATATACCGCATGCAATTGTATGCTTTCAACTCCAGACACATTGTATATAATTTTATACTCCCAGGATATAGGCATGTTTTTAGATATATAGTTTGTAGATCATAAAAATATATTCTTGGTAATTTTACAATAAATATTTATTGTTGGTTGGTTGATTTTGCTTAACGGCATACCAACATCTATGGGTTATTTAATGTCGAAATCTAAATATAACGCACACAATTAAGTTTTATATATATATATATATATATATATATATATATATATATATATATATATATATATATAATTTCTAGATCATAAAATGTATTTTAGTAATTTTACCATAAAATCAATTTTTTATGTTGTTTTTTTAGTGTTGCCCTGATTACCATTTTGCTTTAAAAATCTATTGTTGCTCATTTTATTATTAAAGATGTACTGTTGATTTTTGTTTGGGGATTCACTATTTGCCTATAGCTGGGACCCTAACAGGTGCTACCACCCCGGACCTAGGAACAACAACACCAGTTAAGAGCTGGTTCCAGGTTTCTTAAAACTTCCAATCTTCTGACTGGAGGCTTTGCCGCCAGATGTAGTTTATCGTCATACCCCAGGACGCGAGCTTCGTCGGTCAATCTGTATAATTAGAAAGGAAATATGACAAGAAAGTATTTACGTTGCTTAGCTTTTGGAAGGCATCTTTTGCTATTTTTTTTTTTCATCCGATGTTGAAATGTTTCTCAGATTATATATCTGGGAAGTGTTTTAACGGAACATGGAAAACTTTTGAACTTGTCCAATGTTGACTGCTCCAATCCGTAATCCGGGTATTTTTTCTCTGGCCGTTAATCATAAAAAAGGTCTTACATATACAGTATTATTCCAGTGAATGTTTAATTGTCCAGATTTCGACAGCCATATATTCCTTGCGTGCCTGTTGTGACTTAAACTCAACCCAAACACTAAGTGGAGCCCCGTACATACGATCCATCTTTAAAGATGCTGGAAAAAGGGTCAGTTCTCTGTACCGCTCCAGTAA